TTGTTAAATATTATATATATATATATATATATAATTATATAATTTTATAAAATTTTATTTACTATTCGTTCTATACTCGTTTATATACTGTTCGTACAATTTATACAAATACGAATAATTATTGTTCAGGTAAATAGTATTTTATAAATGAGGTCTTTTTACAGATAGCTAAAGTTCTAAGGTATTATTTATTATTATATATAATAATAAATTTCCATATACTCTTTTAAACAATTATTGCACTTCATGCATTAAAAAAATTAATTAATTTTATATTTATATAATTAATTAAATTAATTAAACAAATAAAATTAGAATTAATTTTAAAAAATGGAAAATCTTGAAATATGACTCTATATATTTATTTTTAATTATAGTTATATAGATATTAAATTAAGTATTTTTATACATATTATTTTTATAAAGTAATTTTATAAATATCGTACATAGTATTCAAAATAATTATATACTATGATTTAAATGAAAATTTTTTTTACAGTAAACTATTTAGAAAATCACATATTTATGATGTCTAAAATAAAAATTTCGATGGTTGTGTATTTTTTCAAGTGATAAAAAATTTTATAAAAAATTTGTTTATAAACCTACATTAATTTCATGCATTTATTATATGAATTTTTAAAATGATGTATTAATATGTATAATGGCATTCTAAATCCAATATAAAAATATGTTATTGAATTAAGCAGATGTATAATTACGAACTCGCTTCAAAATTATCTGACAGAGATAACTAAGATACAATATTTTATGAAATTGATACATAAAAAATTATTAAATTATCTCACGCATCATGATAAACAATTTCATTGATAAATTTGGTTAAAAATAAGAGAGAAAAAACTAACTGCTCACTGTACATAAGCATAGCTAAACTTCACGAAGGTACCGGGAATCGTTGCTCACATTCATAGTGCCTCAATATGCGTAAGTCCTTTATTTTAAGTTGAAATTGTGAAATCTGTTGCTCAGCATCTGCGTGTAGATATTTATATATGCACATCTCGTGTGGTGTTAACTTTTTAGCGATGTATGCATACATGTATACACACGCATATATACGACAAATATATTCTAAGAAATAAATTTTATTTATCAATTGTATACATTCAATAACTTTTATAGTTCAGTTGTAATAGTTAATATTAAATTATAAAATATTAAAATTATTTCTTATCAAATAATATCACTGTTTTTGAAAAATGAATCTTATTATGTTTGTCTTTGCATGATCTGCTAATAATAAAGAAATTAAGTTAAAACCGTAAATTATAACAAAAAATATTTTATGGTCACATTAAAATTAACAATTAGCAATCAATTATTTTAATAAAAATTTCAAAAATCTATATTATTATGAATCTTTTATACAATCATTAATTACGATATTTTAGAGATTTAATCAATAGTTGTAGATAAGAATACAACTATTACACCGTTAAAATGAGTATATTTAAATACAATTTTTAGTATTAATCGTACTTCATTTGTTCTTAAAAAAACATTCACTAATAAATGTAATAACATTTACAGTACTTATACATTCTCATTTACAGTAAATTTTTTTTATATAAATTGTAATATATATAATTTATTTATAATTCAATTTTGTAAATGATAAATTTATTAAAAATAATTTTAATAAAACTAAATTTAACATAGTTAATATATGTTTTTTCAAATATTTATCATATAAATTCGAAATTCCATGTTTGTTCATTTTTATTAATTCAGTGCATCCAAATTTTTCTAGCTACATATGTAAAATTTATTATAATTAATTATTATGATAATTTACAAAATATCACTATTCCTTTTTTTATTATATGGCGGTATTAATGTATAAATGTATATTTACAATACATTATTCCATTAAAACTATCTATACTATATATATGCGACTTTATATTTTTAAAAGTTAATATAAAAATCTATAGTTAATAATCTATAGTTAAAAACAATTGTTATTGTTTTTCTTAAAAATTTGATAGAACTTTACAAAATAAATTAAAAATAAATATCTGATTGTCTATTAAAATTTGTATCTCTTATTTAAATCTCATAGCTGCTTGTGTTTATTTTCAAGTTCTTTATATATTTGTGGAGTGTACATTATTATATATTTACATATTTATATGCACATTAGGAAATTAAATGTTTCTTAAACGAATATTTATTTAATTTTAATTATTGGAAAAAAGTTAATGGCTAATATATATATTAGGCAATCATAAAACATTTCATTAATATATTTTATTTATATTATATAAATTTATATTTCTGCTCCAGTATACCAATTTCAAAATAATTTTAATTGATTATATTTCATATAATCACACAAAACATTATTACCTATTTGATTCATTTCTGCATACTACATTAAAATGGAGAATATACAAAATATGAATAAATTTAAATGATTTACTTAACAAACTGTTTTATTAACTATTCAAATTTTATAAACGTTAATTGGGTAAATTTTTAGTGTTTTATTTACCCATTAAGAATTTAAGATTATATATGTTTAATATAAATTTTTGCAAATAATTACAAACTAATTATTTACAAAATATATTTAGTTCTGATATTACTATTTTTCATCATTAAAATCAAGTTTAATGTTAATTTCTATTATTCTAAGTTTATTGATTTTATTAACATATTATGGTATAGTATACTAAAATTCGCACTGAAGTTCATTGCTCTTGAATTTTAAACCATCTACAATATTACAATTTATACAATATTACCTATACTGAAATTTCATAAATACTAAAACAATATTATGGAATTATCTAGTATTATATTTGTTGATTGATTTATTTTGAAATACAAATCGAAAAATGTATCTTACCTTTGTATACAAATATATACTTATTAATGAAAGCTAACAATATATAATAAATAAATATCAATAAATACAAAAACGAACGTTTATTATTTAATGATACGCTTCTAAAAAATGTTATTGTAATGTAATTAACACCTTTAATTCATTCTATTCTTGTAATGTTAACCGTAATAGCAAGAAAAATTTCTTAATGTAACCAAATCCACACGTGAAATGAAATTCCGATTAAAGCGACAAGAAATTTATTTATTTTTACCACCTATTTATTCACACATACAGAAATGCAGAGAGCGAGATAGATAAGTAGATAGATAAAGCGAGAGTTAGGGCAAGCGAGAGAGTTAAAGAAACGTCCGAAATCACGCAGAGAGCCGCATTCCAATCTCTCGGTGACGTCTCTATAACGCGCTGCCGAGGGACGCATGGGTAGGGGTCCATCCTCGCGGGGGTCCCAGACGTGCACGGGCCCGCTGCGGGCGTCCATTGTGTGCGCGGGACGTACGACGGGACTCCGAAAGTACAAAAACCATGGGCCCGACGCTCTCATTTTCCCTTTTACCCCTTGTCCTAACATATTCTCCTAAGGGGGTCGCGAACGTCCCGTCGCGGCAACGGCGCCCCGAGAGTGAGTTAATGATAACTCAGCTAAGAGCTCTCTGAGTCAGAGAGAGAGAGAGAGAGAGAGAGAGAGAAGGAGAGAGATCAACATAAGATGTACATGCGATATGTATTGAGGATTAAAACGGATTGCCTTTCATGAAATTTCTTAGCATGAATAATTTTTTATGACTTTCCTTTTTGCACTTTTTTCCTTAGGCCTTTAATGGATTGCCATCCTTTTAAAAATTGCATGATACAGTTGTCGATAACCGAGGTCAGCCGGTATAGTCTTTCTTGTATCTTCATGAGTAAATATTACTTACAAATAATTCTTAATAATAATATCGGTTTTCATTAAACATTAAACATTCGGATTTTTTATTATTGATTTATTAAACACCTTATATAAAAATTGTTAATAAAGATGTTTTGTAAGGATGAGAAATAAATTTTAATATATTGATGTTAAATTTATTTAGACACTAAAATAACTATATTTTTTTCCCAATTTATAAAACTTTTTAATTTAATTTAATAATTATGCTTTATCCATTCATTTTTTTAAATATAATTATAACTACTCGGTAATTTAATACTCAATATATAATAATAGGTTTCTGATTATATAAAAGAAAATATATACATATTTATTTATAAATATTATTTATACATGTAGGTGTGTATGAATTCTGATATCTTTAAGAATATAATTAGAAATGTATTATTCAGAAAATATAATATATATTATTTCAATAATAATTTTTCATATAAAACTAAAAATATAAATAAAATTTAATACATTTTCTTTAATAATATCAGAAATTTAAACTGTTGAATGTTTCATGAGTTTAATTTTTTATTAAGATAAATGAAAGGTAAGAAATAATAAAATAATATATATAATTATATCTAAAAAATATATGAATAAGCCCATCGATTTTATTCTTATTTTTTATATTTCATTAGTTTTATATAATTGTTTTTACTGCAATAAACTTTTTATTTTATTCAATTAATTAATTTAATTCTAGAATTAATGAAAAATAATTTATTTAGAATTAAATAATCTTGCACTGATTTTTTTTAAAAAATCTAACTTTAATTACACTTTAATTAAACTAACTTTAATTAAAAAATTTAACTATTATAATATCACCATAAGCACTAGTTATTTGAATTTATATTTGTTTATATTAATATATTTGCCGAGAAAAATAGTGATTCTCGGATAAATTGCCATTTTTCGCAGTGCTTGATATAAGTAAAAAAAACATGAATACTCACGCCCTGTTGTTGAAGATGGCGACGTCGATCGCAACAGTGAACGATGGATAGCAACCGTAGCATTCGATGCATGCAATGGTGACCAAAGCCGGAATGCGATACAAACATGCAACATATGCGAACAGGCATTGTGAGGAATGAGGGTAGCACTTTTAGGTTGGACGTAAATCTATCACACTACTCGTGTGAATATTGGGTCTGTTACGTCATGTTCATAAAATATGGAGCTATCGCAATATACTTACGGAAGATGGATCCTGCAATAAAATAATGAATATAGTGTATACTTTAATTTTACTTTTGTATTTTGTTGGAGAGGGTATATTAATTAGTCTTTTGTTTTGATTTTTATATTCATGAGATATTAAAACTACTATTGTATTATAAATTTATTTTTTAATAATTTAATATGTATTTAAAAACAATATTAATATATCTTGATATAGAAATATTTAGTACAGTAATTATTTTAATATTAAATCAAATTGTTATTAACATTGATTTACATTTTTCTATTTCTTCAAATCTTTAATGAAAGTTTCTTTTTTTAAAAGAATTAAATCAATAATCATTATTTTATTTTATTAATTTTGAAAAAATTTATATTTATTAAAATATCACTTTAATTACATAATTTCTATTGCATATTATATTGTAATACTTTACCATTAATGAAACTTTATAATTGAATTTGTTTCATTTTTAAACCAAATTACTAATTTATGCTGTACTTATTAAAATTATTAAGTAAATGTTTTTTATGACAAATGCCGTTCTATGTATTTGAAGGTACCAACTTAGTACTTAAATATATTCTTTACATCATAAATCATTAGATTTTCTTAATCTTCCTTGAAGAAATTAACTTTCATTGTGCAACACATTGAAAAACATTAGAAAATAAAGTCAATACTATATTTTAAATGTATTATTAACATTTTTTATTTAATACCTATACAAAGTATTAATTTATTATTGTAATTTTATAAAATTATAAAGAATACTTCTAAAAAATATTAGAAAAATATTTCGTACATGAGTTAGAAAAAATTGATGTTTTGAATATAACTTTATTATAAATATAGTATTTGAAAGAATTTGAAAAATTAGTTTGCGAAAAAAATAAAAAATTTTACAATTGCATATAAATCTGCTTAAATAAATTATTTTAGTCAGATAGACACTTTATAACGTGTATTTCAGTTCGTACTTCATTACACTACTGTTTGTGTTTTTTCACACTAAAAAAAAAAAATATATATATATATATATATATATATATATATATATATATATATATATGACACAATAAAGAAAAACATACTGTATAAATTAAAACAATGAGCTAAAGAGATGCATTTGCAATAATAATCTGAAAGTTGGTTTTATATTTTCGCAGCACTGCCAGTTATTATGAGCAATTACATGAGTTCGAGCATACAATGTTGAAGATGCTAAGATGTAAAATTATAAATTATATGGGTTTGCTTATACAGGTGAGGCGCATGTAGACGGGAATTTTCTTTAATAGAATAACATATTTGTATATCGCCAATCATTGACTAGAAAGGTGTATGGTAAAATTATTAAATAAACGTAAGTTGTTCACACGGTATGAGAAACAGTTTGTATTTTAATTGGTTATAGCATATGATCATCGCTAAAATTTTTCAGAGTATATAGTAATATATTAAAAAAATGTTATAGAGTATATAGTAATATATCAGTAAAATTTTTTAGAATATGTAATATTTTTTTAGTAGAATTTTTTATCAACGGTCTTTTATATTTGGTGGTTTTTTTTATTTAGCTGAACTTGTTTTCACATAAATTATATGGATTATTTTAAACACTGCTGTATAATTGTATTTTGTAACAAATATAATTTTTGGATACACAATATAAATAAATGAAATTACAATGATTATATAGAAAGCAAAATGTACGTGGTTTTTAAAAGAAATGTATACTAGAATGAAATGTTCTACATTAATTCGTCAGAGATTATTTTCAATTATTCTTTACTTCATTAAATTAAATTTGATTAAAAAATTTTTTTTAAATAAATGAGTTGCCTAGTATTATTTTAAAGTTTTTAGTGATTATAGCGTTTCACTTTAATAAGTTTGCATTATATTTAAATTATAAATATTTTTAATTGTACAAATTTTTTTAATAACAAATCTGAAGAATAAATGTACGCTAAATGTAGAATGACACTTTTTATAAAAAATTTTATAAAGCTATTTCTTTTGGAAGGTCTAGTGTATAAGTTATTTTTCTGTTCATTATATGCTCCATACGTATAATTTGTTTGTCTATTCTTTTTTTTTATTTTTATTATTGTTGTGGTTTCAAGTCAAAGATCGTGAACAAAATTGAAGCTTCTATAATCTACAGAAAAATGTTTAAAAAAAAAGAATAAAGAATAAATAAGATAGGTAAAAGTTGCTATAATTTTGTTGTATAACTCGATATATTTAATAGTCAGTGTGCTTAATTTTGTCGCTTCTCACATGAGTGTACTCTGCCATAAATATAGAGTCTAAATCGCAATTATCGTATTTTGCATAAAGTGCAATTCATAAAAAAATTGCTTATTTAATATATTAGTTGTGAAATCTTCATATATTCATTTAATACATAAATACACATTATCAATAATTTTAATACGAATTAACTATTAACATAGTAATTTATTCAATTAATTATATATATTATGTTCTATATCAATCATAATAATTTATATTTAACGAAAAAATATTAAATCAAAAACTTAACTTTTTAGATTACATTGACATTATTATGCCAATAATTGTTGTTTCAACAGTCAGATAGAACAAACACTATGAGTATATATATATATATATATATATATATATATATATATATACATTAATACGTTTTTAAGTCAAGAATAATTATAATTTTTTAATTTATTTATTTCTAGAAAAAAGCACTCTTAGAAAAATGACAATAGAAGGAAATTATGATGTAAAAATTCTTATAAGGGTTGTTATTTTCAATTTGTAAATTTATTAATGCATCAACAATCTTTGATCGAGTTGCCAACTACAATTTATAACGAAAACTTTACGAATTACAAAAAATTTCATCCTAAATTTTTCACGTCCAGTAAGAAAGAGTCAAGAAACGAAGAAGTGATGATAAATAAGAATGTAAATTGATATCTCCGAAAGGTTTATTATATTCGTAAAACTACCATATTTTAAACACAAGCTTACAATTATATTACTTGCTGAATTTTATTATATCTGCATCTAACTTATATAACTTATAATTACGCTCTATTTATATTCAATAAATATTTAAAGAAAAAAAGAATATTTTTAAAAAGTAATTAAATATTCTTTTACTAATCAAATATTAAATAAATACTAATTAAATACTAATTAAATAAACTTAATTAAATATTCTTCTACTAATATATGTAATGATTAATGTACTTGATTATGCTCAATTATTTACATTTTACCATAGAAATTGTTTGCAAAACAATACATTTAATTGATTTCAAATTTCGCAAGTTTGAAAAATAAAATCTCTTAAAAATAGTAGTATTAACAAGACTATGCATATCATTTTTGGCATATAGAAATGTCTTTTCATATTTCATCTGTGACATTTTAATGGATGTCAATATAATTATTAGAAAATTTTTTAAAATTAAGTATATCTTACTAATGTATTCAATTTGTTAGGATTACATAAAATATATTTATTTAAATAAACAATTAGTATCGCAATAAATCTTAAAATATAGGATTACTTATTTTTTAGAGTATCTGCATTATTTGAAAGCGATGTCTGTACATACAAAAAGTATGCGTAAATTACACTTTTTATTTACATATACATTAAAGAATTCGAATAACTCCAATTACTTTACTTTACGAGCAAAATAAAATACCGATTACAACTACAAATGCCAGACCTCAGACGACGGAAGTACGAGTTAGAACAGTTAGAATGATTCATTTCTGTTGCCGTAACATAACTGCGCGATTTTTATCCACCTTGATTAATTACTATATCATTAACGGAACGTATTTAAAGTCGATAAAAATCAATCAACTTTGCCACTATCCTAAGACAATCAAGGCCTATTAGACAATCGTTATGTCTACAAAATCAATGTTCTTCATATTCTACTCTTACGATATGTACAACTTCACAAGATCGCAATGTTTATTGTATTGATATTGTAAGCATACAATTAATATATTGTAACGATTAAATTGCAGATTTTGATAATAAAAATTTTTATTTGACCTTGATATATTGAATACCCTTTTTAATTATTTATATGTTTTTGTGTTTTTATGTATTTATTTTACTTTTAATTATTTATGTGATTTATTTGTTTCTATATTAAAAAAGAATGTGCTCATTATTATATACAGAAAATTTGTCTATGAATCCATAATTTTTCTACCCAAAAATTATATTGACAATTTTGTTTAAAAACCTTTTACTAATAATTGAGCTACTAATAAAAATTCATATTTAGTAATTATCCATAATTCATTTACTATTTTACAAAATTCTTTTTTATATACATACATATTTATTACATTTACTTCGTTAGAATATTTACGTATGATTTCATTAAATTATTATATATTCATACTTTTATTTTCTCAAGAAAGCAAATATTATTGTCATTATACAGTCACTTATAATTAAGGAAACTATTGCAAAGTAATCGAGCATTTTTATTTATTATTTAATTTAATTTATTATAATTAAATTATTTATAATTTAATTATATTAATTAATTATAATATTTAATTTAATTATTTATAATTTAATTATAATTTATTATATAATTTAAATTATTTAAGTTCTACAATATTAATTAACATAATGATATATAAAAAAATTTCAATTAAAAAAATGGTAAAATATTCGCATGTAAGCTTAAGGCAAATTAATAAATCACGTATTCGTAAAATTATTTCGTTTACATGTTTTTTTATGTTGCAATTAAGTTTAATTATTGAAAAATGAATACTGCATATAAATATATATATATATATATACATTTATAAGTGTGCAAAATTTAAGTTTATGTATGCTTAAATTAAAATAAATTCAATATGAAAATTATAATAAGAATTTTGAAAAAAATGTTTATGTAGATATTTAGACGAATAAGTAACGAGATTTTTATATTTAGCTTAAATAATAATGTTGGTAATATAAAATATAAAATCTATATGCACATAGCAATAAGAAAGTAGCAAATTCTTGTTGATTATTAAAAAAATTTTAGGTAAATTAGTTTTGACATAAAATTAATTGTTAAAATATTTGTATAGCTAGTAATGTAATATATATTGTTAGTAATTAAAATTAAGTAAATATATACTGTTCGAGATTTAGAGAACTCTCAAATGTTATCATATGGGAAAAAATTCTAATGGCTATCATTTCAAGGAAAAACCTCAACGGTTATCATTTTTGGGAAATAATTCTATGGTCATAATTTCTAAGAAAAATCTACAACGGTCGGTGGAGGTTCGGAAAAGCTGGTACATCCGAAATGATACAAGTGCACAATCACCTCCATTGTTTCTCACACCGCAGTCGCACTCATTGTTTCTAGCGCTATGATCGGCCATTTGTTGTCAACTAATAAAGCTGCCGCGTGGCTATTTAGGACAAGCGTACCACCAGGCGCATTAGTACACTTTCAGTCATTGACACAATCAATCGTATTATTCACCCATGCAGATTAGACGGTCAGCAAGCTACTTACCACGATAGAAAGAAGACGTATCAATTCTCTTGTGCTGCAATTAAAATGTCGTGTCGACGCTATCTCCCTCTTATAATACAATTCATCCACACGAAGCATCTAGGATAGTAAAATTATTCCACATCCACATGGAGCATTCGGGATAGAAAAAGATTCACATCACAGAACAGGTCAAGACTACTGTATCTCTGGGAGTAAACCAAGTCTAAAATGAAATAAATTATTACTAATTGTTCAGGATTGAACCAATAAAAAATACCCAACACAAAATAAGAATTTATTGTTTGTTGAAATACGATTCCGATATATCATATTTAGATTAAGGCGCAATATTCGAATTATACGTTACAAAATTTCACTGGAAATTTAGCCGCGCACTTTGTCCACAAAAGAAGCTTCTCGAATTTATCAAAGCTTACTTCCAGAGAATTCACTAAAGCCTCCAAGAATTTATAACACTAAATGTACGCAATCGTATTTAAGAAGCAACGAACGGAGAAGAAAACAGTCTTGTTGAATTACTCAAATGAAACTAGTGCCAGTCATATCTGTGAAAGTCGAACTCGTCTGAAGGATTTCGTGCAAGGTATATTATTAAATATATTGATTATTCGATTATTATTATTGCTGGTCAGCTATCGATAGTACGTACACTTGTCGTGAACCCTCGCCTATCTCTCGTGGCCGTTCCCGGTCTACGTCTACCTTATCATATTTATTAATAGACCCCGGCCTAATTTTCGTTAGCAGGGCAAGACCTTACCGATCATGCTATGCGGGACAAACTTTTCATGATTATTCGCGGCCCACGTCTACCGTATCAGAGAAGCCCTCCGACTTGATTCTTATCAGACCGCTAAAGAGGGCGCCGATCCTGATAGTAGACCTCTGCTTAAGTCTAATTAGTACTGCGAGACATTACCGGTCACGCCACAACAAAGTGGTTCTGATCAAACCACAAAAGAGGGCGACAACTATTCGTAATAATCCCCACCATCGCCACGAACTGACTATCACTCAGTCAATTCTAACTTCGAGTCAAACGCTTTATCAGTCGCGAGCCGAATCTCGCTTAGTACGATTCGAGCGTCGCCTTAAGCATCTAAGCTTCGCGAGCCGACTAATAATACCCAGCATAATTCAAGCGTTACTCACACGACACATGACTGTCGAATAAGAAAAACTCCGTTGATTCATAAGCTAGAACCCGTAATTAGTATTCCCGAGATACCTTACGAGGCTTGCACTCCCAGACGATGTTTCTACTTAATATCAGCTGCCTAGTCACTACAATCAACAATTCTCACCATAATTAAAAACGCTGTAACAACTACTTAAATAAAGGTCACTAAAACCAATTGTGTTTACTCTAAGTTGATGCATTAACCTCTCACTCATCCCCTCCTCCCATCACCATTAAACCGGTGGTACGGTCTAATCCATCCTCCGTAATCTGCGATCATACTGGTGGCTGGAATTCCAAACACTAATCCTTACAAGATTGGCAGGATACTATTATTACATATCACAAAATACACTCACTAATAAGAAGGGTGCCCACTCAGTTGTTGATACTTACAAAATCAATAACAAATCATTATCATCAAATAGCATCTCGTGTAGATAAACTATTCACCACAGGAGCAGCTTTAGGAAACTGATCTTCGTGATTGAACATAGCATACACCATTCCAATAATGTAATTGTAAATAAGCCATAATAAACCATACTTAATGAAGAAGTGCACACTACATTCAACTAGCTCTTTCACTTAACCCTTTCCCAAGCACCATTAGGGGGGGGGGGGAAATTATTATAAAGCCACCGAAACATTGACAGATCGAGCCAGGAAATCAGACAGTTTCTAGTTATATATATTTATTCTTTTAAAGAGGAGAGTTAGTGAACTCATTTAAATATTAGTATGAATAGAATATGGTAATATTATTAATTTATTTTTAAAATTGAAAAATATTTTGATTTTTTTGACAATCAAATGAATAAGGTAAATCAATGATATGATGTATAAGATATTTTTTATTTTCATTCATTTTTTGTAAAATAAAACCAAATATTGATTTTTAATAAATTAAATTAATATAATTAATTATAAATTAATATATATATATGTGTGTGTGTGTGTCGTAAAATAAATACATTATTTTTATACAAAGAAAAAATATTTTGAAAATCCACAATAACTTTAAAGTAACAATTTCATAATATAAGTTCTTTAATAGAAACGTTTAATTCTTAAGCTTTAAGCATATAAAATTCAAATATAAAAATTGTATTATTTTAATCAGACTTAACAACAAATTTTAAGTAAACGTACTGAAGTTTCCTAATTGCCTTTTCTATATATTTATATGTATATAATAGTTAACTTAGGCATATATAGCGTTTCGCAGTTAGGTGTTCAAATTATTTATCATTATATATATTGCAGATTGTATTGTATGTAATGCATATTATATTGCACTGAATATTATAAATTTAAGTAAGATAACATTTATTTATTATAAGAAATGACATTTTTTGTAATTATATAGTTTTCTTATTTAATATTTAATTATTTTAATTATGATAAAATTTATGTACAATTCTTTAATGAAAGTTATTTTGTAAAAAAAAGATACAAATATATTATTTATTATTATAATAGGAATATGATACCATATATTAAAAAAATTCTATTATCTAATAGTATAGTATGTTCTATAACTTTTTTAAATAACAAAAATAATGGCTCTTATATGAATTAATTAATTTATTTTTGTATTTTATTTTTATTTATGTTAGAAATCAACTATTGCATTTAGCTTCAATAATTATTTTTATATACATTAGTTCATTACATTAGTTTGATTTTTAAAACATCAGTGTTACTAAGATTAGAAATTAACCATAATTTATACACCTGATACTAATTTTTTATTGAATTTGCATTATTTAATATTTATTTCCATTAAAATATGAACCGCGTAATTTAAAGATAGCTGAAAACGCAGATCGTCGAATATTTATAAAATAGTCCGAATTTATTAATAAACCAGTCGTTTTTGATTCTCATAAAATATTGTGCACCGATTAGTTCATAAAAACTTACAGACGAATAGAAAACTGTATTGGGATTATAGACGTATAATGTTACAAACTACCGGGAAAAAACTTGCACAGACCTGTAATCTCTACTTTCTTTACCTTTTATGCTTCTCACCACTATTGTATAGCATCTAAGGTCTCATAATACGCAACATATTACAAAATGAATTGAACTATATTATATAGTATTTAAGAAAACAGAAACTTAGAGGAAAATGAGCGGTATACACATGAAAGATTGTACACGAAGTGAATCAGTAGAGGGATGAGTGGATTTTAAGATGTTAATGTTATAATCATGAAAAATAAAAGGAAATAGGGAATATAAAAAGTGCCTTTTTCTTTATGGAATTTGTATTTTAATCTTCGTTGCGCGTTATAAAGAAAACGTGTGATATTATAAATTGTAATTTTATTAAAGCAAGTGTATGTTGTAAAGAAATTAACGGATCTTGGGAATTTCCGTCGCCTCTCTCCTCTGTTTCAACCCTTTTATTTTTTCTCTTGTTTTCATAGACTATTGATTTGAGTATTTTAAGCCTTAACATTATTACTCAAATAAAAAGTGATTATATTAGTGATACGTAATGTTTATTATGTAATATTTCGTTATTTAGTATGAATATATAACAGATATTAAATCATATAGAAGTCCAAGTATATTAAGTCTATATAAATCCTGTAGAATACTATATCTTTTGATATATAAATACTTAAACAATGTAAAATTAGATATTTGAAAATATTTTGTATTAGGTTTAAATAAATTATAAATATTTAAACAATTTCAAAATTCAAAAGAGAAATAAAATAATTGCTTTGAAAAACATTCTATTACTCTCAAATATTATTTTGTAAATAAATCAACTTAAAATTAATCGTTAAATTCGCTAATAAATTTATAACATTCTACATTCATAAACCATAGTTTATCCCGGGTAGTAGTTTAATGGTAAATACAAATAATTTAATTTTATGATTATTAAATATATAATTGTGCTACAATAATAAATAAATATTAACTTTTAAAAAATACTATTTGTTATTTTTAATTATTAGTTAATAAAAATGTTAGTACTCTCTTTTATTTCAACATATTTCTAAAATATTCCGAAACTAAGTAATGATAATTAAATTTTGATAGACATTTTTTACTTAATTAAAAAATATAAATGTTTATATATCATTATTTATATAATATTTAAAAATTGAAAATACCATTATTTAAATTCATCGATAGGGATAATACGTTAATTGATTATTCTTGGGCTTACTTCATCCGATTCAGTCACTTATTTATATCTTATTTAAGCAAGCAAGTTTGGTCTAATGAAAATAATTCTTAATATTTTACGGTGTAAGTACATTTCTTTAAATATGATTTACTATAAAAAATACATATCATTCGCTGGTTGATTCTGGATACGTGCAAAACTTATAGAAATAGGTAAAACAACTATAGTTATCAATTTAGAAAAAAATAAGTTTTTTTCTACAGCTTTTTTCGGCAGCTATAAGAACTATCGAAGTAAAAATATTGACCATACCGGCCGGCATTTGCGACAGATGTGCTCGGGGGACTACTAGGCGAAAGCGTGGAATCATCGTTGTTCTATTCAAAATTCGCACGGCAAATTGCGCGAACGACCAAACGGGATCTCGTATCGTACGTTTATATCCTCGCAGTTGTTCCACGACGATGGGCGTATATATACATAGGCCCCGGATGGATTTAATCAATTGTTTGTAGTAATTAAACGAAACTTCGAGAGGGTGTAGGTGATGGACTTTGCGGCTAGAGGCGACAAAGAGGAAATCAGAACAAGAGCAGCTTGAGATAAAGATAAATAGTGCGTGTGAAAGACGAGATGCTTATGTGTTTGTAGTAAGGGGAAAGATGGATCATTTACAAAATAATCTCTCGAAACAAAAAAATTATAGTGTGTAAATAAGTATTATATGAATGAAATTTTTTGATTAGAGAGATCAGATCTGATTTCAATCGAATTAATGGATATTATATGGAAGAAGTATTCGCGATGTTATTATTTATTACATTTTACCATACAAAATAAAGCATTTTATGTTCGTAGTTGTTAATTTTAAATTTAAATTCTGGTGTATTATAAAGTAAATATTTTGAAATATTCCATAAAATTTGTGTTTTAGTGAATCCGCTGTTTTGAAGAGCTACTTTATATATAGAATACTACAGTTAAACTTTAGTATACATCATAGTTATATATTATATTATAGTTAAGCTTATAGTTACATGCGTAAGCATTAGCCTTTTCTCCCTAGTATTTTTCTCTATACATATGACAAAGAATCTTGATTATTTTCCAACTTAATATTTTTAGAATGGAATTATATAAAACTCATAATTAATTTAGAATATAAATGTTTTGTATATTTTTTTATCCCACATTTTTTTATTTTTAATTTTAATTCTTTCATTAAAAAGTTTTATTATACTTATAATTTAGTACAAATAATATAGTTTTATGTATTTAAATTAATATATTTTTATTAGAAATTGAAATACCTTTATTAAATATCATAAATTTATAGTCAAAATAAAATAATTATTAAATATAAAAACATATATTTTATATAAATGAATTATAATTACAATATATTTGTAATGATTGGGATGTGAAAAGATAATTCAAAGTCATGCTATCATTACAAACAATTAGATATTAGAATAACATTCATAGAGTGGTTACAATAGCTTCATTCATTTTCTAAAGAAAAAGTTTACATCCTTAGTACTTACAACCATCTTAATGGTAAACCATCTTACACAATATGTAAACATATTATAAGGACATTGAATTTTTATAATTTTTGTTAAAACTTATATTATTATATCGCATATTACATTAATTTATTTTCAATAAATTTTTTGTTTAAGAAATTGGAAAACATATTTTTTACTGTAAAAGCTTAAAGGTATGTTTTCCTTAAATAAATATTAATTTTTATATATAATAACAATAAATGGTTTCATTACAAAATTTGAACATAAAATTTATTTCACTATATTATATATATTTTTGTTCTAAAGCATGAAATATTTTTTTTTTACAATTATGTAAAAAACAATGAAATAATTTAAATAAAATAATAAATATTATATGGCGATGGTAATGAATGTTGATACATTTTAGTTCGAATAATATAATATACAACTATCTGGAATAA